AGGTTCAATTGATTTGACGAACCCCTTTGATCCTCTACACCACCTTAATGTGTGATCTGTAGTCTCTGCGAAAGAACTTACCCCACCGAGACGATAAATTTCGCCCTATATTGCTGAAAATAGTTGAGCAAGTGGCGTCATTGGCGAATGGAGAAGTTTGTAGGCCCAAAAGAGCCCCAGCCATTATCCTTCAAAATTCAGTTTTCATACGTATCCTCAAATATAATTTTTAATAACCATAAGTATTATTTTCTTCCCTCATTAGTTGCGGCAGTGTTAAGACCAGTTTGGTCACCAGGACAGGTGGGCCGGGTTAACGCGTCGGCGAGTTGTGTCCAGAGCATGGTTATAGAGGAACAGGTTGCCACACAAAAATAGTGGTGGCTGTCTCTAGTTGGGGTCAAAGGGTAAACGAGCTTGATGTTTTTCAAACAGGGTAACGAAGTGGATTGCTAGAATGGGTCACTTGAGATGATATTTATGTATATATATATATATATGCTGACTCAGAGCTGCTATGCTATGAATCACTAAACAGTACTCACCACGCTACTAGAAACGTGATCATTCCTGGTGAAATAATCCCGGTGAATCTGTGATCACTGTTGTCTTTGATGCTTGCCACGCTTCATAGGACTCAATTACTGGAAACTATTTCAGAATGAATAGATGGAAGCATGTTAGCTGACGGTTCCAAATGACGGCTAGATGGCGGAAGCTACCACACAGGTGGAAGTAAATCGGCACAGTTTCGATTCACTTATGTTTTTAATCACAATTTTCTGATTGTCTTGTTGGCTTCATCAGTCTTTCTAGAAGTCCTGAAAAACCATGCCAGGGTTAACCACACTTATTTGGAAAACCGAAATGGGAGACTATACGATTCTGACAGAGGCTATGTATACTTCAAGAAATAAGTAATAGGAAGCGCAATAGTTTTACCGCAGCTGATGAATCTTTCGAATACTTTACAAATCTCTTGCCGTGGCTCTTAACATGACAGTAGAAATCACAGTATACTACGATGAAACAGCACCTATGGTTTTTCGTTTTAGGGGTTCATTTATACTTTCTATGTCTGTGAGTGAGTGCAAAAGGGTTATCAACAAGCAAAATAAAACAGAGACCAATTATGAGTATATACAGACAGAAAAAAGCATCAAACTTGCCCCTGCCTGTCTACTCGGCTTTTCAGCAGCCAAGCAGCTGAAATTCAAGTCACGTTGAAGTTATTTAGTGAGGTAGATACTGCTACAAGAGAGCTCCGGAAGCTATCTAAATGATTAGACACCTTGTTATTTTGCATTTTTTAGACGTCAGTTAACTGCGTTCCGGCAGAGCTGCTGTAATCATGAAATAATCGGATAACTCTCAAGGAAGATATAAACTCGCGGAACCCGATGCAATAGTCGAGATCAAAACAAGTAGTGTTTTTAGTATGATAGTGCATCGAACACAGTAGGAAAATGCTCAGTCAATAAATGCTGCTACAGACCTTTACGTTTAAAATTACCAGGAGACAAGACGAAGCATGAATCAGCCAAGAACATATCCCACACTTATTTAACGTATAAACAAAAAAGGTATATGTGAGGGTCTAAATTAGATGACGACTTCGTCTGAAAGTATAAAAATAAAACAGGTTTCAGATTACAATGGAAGCAATAGCCAGTACGTCACTAGTTGTAATACGGAATACCCTGTGACATCAGCCATCGACAGTGGGTCGTGCAAAGAGATTCACTGCGTGAAACTAACACAGACACTGTCGCTGAATATATTATACACAGGCAGTGAAGTTGATGTCATTCGCAACAGTTATATTCGAACCCAAGTTTCATCACTACTCACGCTTGCCGCTTTGCACTAGTTAGGTTAACACTGGCTGTAATTTGAGCCAGCTTCCTTAACAGCGGCGAAGATTTCATTAAGGTTTCTCGTAGATTCGGGCAACATATAGGGTAGATTAAACCTTTTCACCGGTAGATTGTTGATTTAGCCTTCGGAGCTTATCATCTGTGAGTTTCCAGATGGTGGCCGATAAGGATGTCAGCATCAAGGCGGGGTGGACCAGAACATGAACTTGAAAGCAGCTTGAAGTGGTACGTAATTCCCCAGAATTATTGGCCACAGCATTCATCACTGAACATTGGATACTGACACTCACTGTTTTAGTCGATTTGTTCAGCTGAAGGCTTACGGTAAAGCACTCAAGCCATTTGGCACGCCATCGTGGTACGTTCGTTCGTTCGTGAACAATCACTAGCTAGTTAAGCAATCATCTCGCTCTCCGATTTGGTTCAAAAATATACTTCGTAATTTGAACGATCAGTTTTGGTGTTTTGCTTTGCCTTTGGTTTATGCGGAACGAATACTATAGAAGTTGTGGGTATTAGATCTTGCTTTAGTATACTTCGTACTATCCGTAAGCGTCAACACCCTCAGCCTCTAAAAGCCTACTGTTCTCGCCAACAAGTGATGTTGGATATCCTGTCAAAGTGTGCACAGTAGATAAAGAAACATCCACTTTGATTTTGATTTGATTTTTGACTACAGCGTAATTCCACACAGTATTTTTTAGTACAGGTACGGAATTTTCATCATGCGATATCGGTAGCCCAAATTTGGCAGGATGAGAATAGATGTCAGGTGTGCGTTGGCGGGGGATCGAACCCCGGACCATTTGCGTCTTTGGCGAGTCATAACCACTGTGCTTCTGACAAAGAACGAGCAAAATTTTCTATTCGAATGGAGTGTTACTGTTAACTTTAATCAAAATTGTGCAGAACTTTATTCATATTCTACACACGGTCCACCTTCCAGGAAGTTGAGAAAGACAAAAGGCCAGGTACCACATGTTGTGGAGAGAAAATTCCGGCAACATATTACGTGAAGTCATCACAATGCAATCTACATTATGTACAGGCTTATGCAACACAAATTCGTCAATAGGAGGAATAGAAATCCTCAGTTTTTGGACACCACTATGAGCTAAAAAAACGTGTATATCTATGGTTTTTGAGTTGATGGTAACCTTTCATGTGAAATTTTATTTTGAAGTAGAAACGAATAAAAAGAATAGAAGGTACACAGTACTTAATATGTTAAGAGAGGAATTGTAAGTCAGTGGTAACTCTAAAACTGGTTAAATCTCTGCAGTGATTGGGCAAACTCTGTGAAGACGATAGGCGCCAGTAATTCTGTCAAACAGATGGTGTTCATGTGTGTGCGCGAAAGCATGTTTTGAATTGCAGGAAACTGAAAATTTATTGCACCCCTATTAAAATATGCGTATATGTAACACGACTAGCCGAAAACATAAATGTCTGGGTAGAATAAAATGTGCAAATAATTTACTCAGCGAGTTGTGCATAATTCAAACGTTTTACATGTCGTCCACTCCAACTACAATGAGGGAAATTGAGAGTCTTTAAATGACTTTAGTCATGTGGACCATTGGACTAGTTACACTAATTTTCACGTCAGATTAATGCTATCTGTATGTGGCCAATGGAGTTGTCTCAACTTTCAAAAGTGATAATTATGGGAACCTCTCCTGCGTGGCTAAGAATGTGAGAGCAGCATTCGACGTTACGCACGTACAAAAATTTAAGAACACTGGAAGAAGTATAACTTATAAAAGCGATTGCATCTGGCTGCTGACAAGACGCAGATCGCGAAATCAATCTTCAGGTGGGTGTATGAATGTTGAACTGGGTTCAAACAACACTAAATGGGAACTCAGCATGTTTTAAATGTCTCATAGTGAAACAACTGAGGGCGGAGGTATTTTTGCAGAATTCTGCGTTTTAAGTGACTTGGTAAATGGGGGCAGCATGTACAAGAACAAGGGGATGCATAGGGCGACAAGGGTTCCCCAGCATCAGATAGAAAGTGGACGCAGAATTAGGAAGAGTAGTGGCTGGTCAGTTAAGAGTCCATGCTAGATAAAGTGAAGAAAAATTCAACACACACTGAAAATACCCTCAAGTTACAGCACGCGTTTGGCCATCTAGTGGGGCCTTAGTGAGAGGTAAGGAATCAAACGTCGTATAGTGATATGGGCAAGATTGTATGAATAGAAAATGATAGCTTGGGTGCAGTCAGCAATCAGTCAAAAGTAATGGCAGGCAGACAGATGTAAAGGAAATGTGCTTCTGAGGCCATATGTTCCACTCGTAAGGCAAGTCACTTGTCATAGTGGTGGTGCCTTAAGTGAACCTGAAGGTGTAATAGGAGTGTTTGGTAGTTTTCATAATGATAGTAAAGAGAAGCTGAAGTATGTCACGCACGTATTTCCTTATAACAGTGGACGTCACGTAATAAATGTATTCAACAACTGTTTTGCATGTGTAGTCAGTGTTGACTGAAACAGATTTCATTCTGATAGATAAACTGCGTCAGTGCATATCATAAATTCTTACAGACGTCACTGTCTACAACCAGTTGCTGCTCTTAAAGTGTTTAAAAAATAACTCAGGCAACTAACAAACACATCACTTCGGTATTATTGATGGAACTACCAACTACCATTAGTTATTTCTAGTTTTTCCAGGTGGTTTGGAATGCGAATCAGACGTTAACAGAAGTCAAAAGGCGTTATTTTGAAAGGGATCGACTTAAACATGCAGTTACACTAATAAGCAATATGATTTCTGAAATGATTCCCACCTCCCAGATATTTACAAGCGTAAATGACGACACTTGAAATAGGTGGACTTTCAGACATCAGTCAGATATTGAGTGATGATTGTCACAGAGCTCCGCATGTCCAGCGAAGCAGAATCTGAAATCCATGGTAAAATTATGCCCTCTCTCCAAAATTATATGTCTACTCATTTTGTGTTCAGCCAATCTGCAGTAATCGAGGGGACATATCGAAATTGAATCCACCAAAAACCCAGAGCTCTTCCGAAACGGCAGGGACTAAGCCCCAGAAAAATCACAGTGCATGTAACAAGTTCGCCAAGAAGACATTGGATATTGTTTTCAGATACATACTTAGGAGCGTACAGTTTGAAACTCTACTTTACCTTTTCGTGCTCTGTTTTTGGAGCTTTTCGTTACATAAATGCGCCTCAGATATGGATTCTGTTAATGCACATTCATTACAAGATATGCAAAGTTGCAATATATCCAACGATCAAAGTGTGCCTATGAGCCAAGGTACAGATTCAGATGGTGTCTCCACCCAAATGGTAGATAAATGTCAACGAGTCAAAATGTGGCAACAAACAAACTATCTTTCTGATTCTGGTATTCAAAGTGCTGTCGGGACACACACACCAAGCATCAGCAGTAAAATGGGCATCGACGATACTGAGGTAGATGATCGTTATTTCAGTCAAAAGTGTGGTCATTTACCTCAATGGTCATCTACATTTCCTCTCTCTGTCAACCCATCGGACTCTTGCTTACTTTCTCCAGCTACCCCTAGCACCAGCAGTATTTTGGGTGTCGACTCCTTGAGTGATGTTGGTGGCTCACACTCAGCTAGTAATGTTGATTTAAGGGGAAACAAATTGCCTGAGATTGATACTGATGAAGCTGCTGGAGCCATCCCAGAACTTGTTAAACTCATTAAAGACGAAGATGACCAGGTCATTATTTATCAGTCATCAATGATGGTTTTCCAACTAAGCAAATCAGAGGCCATCGATGCTCTTATAAAATCTAGAGACATGATCGACTGCATTATATCTGCACTAGATCGAACAGAAGATCCAGAAACAGTGCGTTTTCTTGCTGGCACATTATACAATATTTCTCAAATGCAACCAGGTCTCAAGGTAAGGTACTTATTTTTAAAAAAAAACTTATACTGTAGGCAATATTTGCTGCTCAATGTATCCCATGTCTTGTGAAACTTCTCAATTCTCCAGTAGAATCAGTTTTGTTTTATGCAATAACAACATTGCACAACCTTCTTCTTCACCAAGAAGGGGCCAAGGCTGTTGTAAGACAGAGCGGATGTTTGCAAAAAATGACTGCCTTACTGCGAAAGAATAACATAAAATTCCTTACAATCTGCACGGACTGTTTACAAATATTGGCTTACGGTCATCAAGAAAGTAAGCTACAAATACTATGCAGCGGGGGACCTGTAGAGCTGGTTCGCATACTGAAGACTTACCAGTATGAAAAGTTATTGTGGACTACGGCCCGAGTACTTAAAGTCCTAAGTGTGTGTGCTTCTAACAAGCCGGCCATAATTGTTGCTGGAGGAATGGATGCCTTAGCAAAGCACTTGCACAGTTCTAGTCATCGATTAGTATTGAATTGTCTCTGGGCACTTCGTAATTTATCTGATGCAGCAACAAAAATGGATAATCTTCAGCCCCTGTTGCATTCATTGGTACGTCTACTTGATTGTGGGGACAGTGGTATGATTACATGTGCAGCTGGAATTCTATCAAACCTCACATGTAATAACCATGCAAATAAATTTGCTGTTTTCAAGGTAAGGAAATGAATTCACTTCAAACTTTGTTTTCAGATGGGTGGTGTAGAAGGGCTTTTACGTGCTGTCAGTCAACCTGTTGTTAAAGAAGATATTCTGGAGCCATGCATGTGCGCTCTGAGGCACTTGACAAGTCGTCATGAAGAGGAAGAGACAGCAAGACATGCTATAGTCCATGAACTAAATGGTTTACCAGTGATCGCTCGAATTTTACATGCAGCCACTGCTGGTATTTGTCCTGATCTCGGTCTGGTATGTCAACATCCTCAAAATCCGGTGGTTTCTTGGATGCTTGTGAAGGCTATGGTTGGCTTGTTGAGAAATTTGTCTGTCAATTTGGACAGTCATTTCGGAATGCGAGAGTGTGGACTTGTTACCGGGTTGTTTTTACTACTTTATGCTACTCAACACGAGATAGGGAGGGTAAGTATATTTTGTCACTACGTATAACCTATATTACTTTTGTCGATTTATGTGAACGTTTTACTTAACCAATGGTAAAAACTCACTATCTAGTTAGGAAGGTGTATTCACTTATCTGTGCTTTCGTTGCTCACGACCATTGCTTTTGTATTAGTTGTTTTTATAGCCAGTTAAGGGGAAAAGCCAACTAAAGAATCGATTATTTAACGTAAATTGCGTAAAATACCAATTGCCATCTATGTTTGTTATGCTAAGAATATCCAGTGATTTGAGATAGCACTAGTTATATTTATATGTATATATATATATTTATATATATATATATATTGGGAGTCTAATAAACAAATTTTATTTGGAACAACTGAAGTGGCTCTGGGTCTTATCTCTAAATCCCTATTGTTTGAGTTTTCCCCTCTAAAACTTTCGTCGTTCCGGATATTTTAGTTTCAACTACTAGGTCTTGTGTCCCAGCAGCTTCACTTATCAAAGTTAGATCAGTATTCACTGACGGACTGATTGACATAGAACTGTGCTAAAGTGTATCTTTTTAAGTTGCCACCCTTCACATCAAATGCGACTGACTGCTTAATGTAGGAATTTATACATGAGGTAACGATGTAACCTCATTCACATTTTTAAATTGATCGTAGTGATTAATGAAATTTCACCATTGATAAAACATCAGTCGGTATTCCGAAATCTACTAAATAATAAGTGTAGGTGGTATCGATGTTTTAGACACTTAAATTCCCACCATCTAGTCGGGCTTTTAAACTATGCTGCACTAAAGTTTTATGAGTTTACAGATAGCTTTATCTCGATTTATTTCATAATTCAGTACAAATACATAAGTGATGTCCATTTACTGATGTCTTTCTTTTTGTTACCACTTATGAGCTAAATTTACAGCCATATAGCTGACTGGCTGACTGACTGGTTTCAACGTAGAACTTTGCACAGATGTGCAGCAGTTCGAGTTGCCATAGTGTAGTGTATTCCATACATATTATACCATTGTCGTGTAGATAGTGTGTTACTACAGATATTCGATCATAAGCCGTGGATTTTGTTCACTTTTGTTGAAATACACTATGTGAGCAGTATCTAGATTAATATCTGCAACTGGTTATGATGGGGTGAGAATCTACGCATTTTAGATTAATTTCATAATAATTCCATATTAGTTTGTTTATTAGATGTATCACAGTGAAACAGTGTTATTTACTGGATGACGTTTCGAGAAAAATTTATTGTTTATAATCATATCAATTATAATCACACGACTTTGAAACTTGAGTTTTACAGTTTTCTTTGTCCTCTCCTATTTGTCGTAGGGGTAGTAGAATTTTCCAGATATCTGGGATATGATTATGAACAATAAATTTTGTTCGAAACCTCATCCAGTAAATAATACTGTTTCACTGTGTGATACATCTAATAAACTAATATGGAACTACTTACTACCACAGTGCCCAAGTTTTACACATATATTAATTTCATGGTAAGTAAGAAAAGTGTAGTAGTAGTAGTAGTAGTTGGGTAGATGACAAAATGGCAATGAGAGCAGTGAATTCCTCCTGAGTTCCAGTAAGACAACTGTTTTATTATCATGGAATATATGTGATTTATATTAAGCTAAATTTTCAAACAATTTTTGATCCATGTTTTAGCGTTCTGTTTCTGGCGCTCCTGCTTCCCATCCAACATTTTCGACGGTAGTTCAAAGCGTAAGACTCGAAGAGATCGTGGAAGGAATTTGCGGGGCACTTCATATGTTGGCAAAGGATCATGCTACTCGTTCATATTTGGCCTTACTAAAGGTTAGTTTACAGTTATTTTTATGTGTATCAGAATGTTACTCGTTCAAGACTTACTTACTTGGTAAGTTGTTACAGCCCCAGTAAAATGGTAGCTAACAAAATCTCAGCACAAATGCAAAAGACCTGTTTGGCATTTCCTTGTTCGCATAATCTTCAGTATCGGTAAAATATTCTGCCCTCTATCAGTGTGTGCACTCTACAGTGGGAGGGCTGTTAAAACGGATGATACGTGAATACTGTAGCCTCTTGGTCATAAATATCTTTCTGTTATTGTTGTTAGGTGCAGCGAAATGGATTATAATAAAATTTTGATGCACAGTGTTGAGTAAGAAAGTTGGGACAGTCGATGAGTTATTGAGTGTAAAAATTAAAACATACCTCATGAACTGAGGCTATGCTGTGGTGTATATTATTATACATTTTTTGGGTTCCGAGTGGAACATATGGACTCAAAAGCGCGTATCTACTGCACTCTATTCTCTGCCATCACTTTTAACTAGCTCTACGACTACTGTCAAGCTCCGACTTTTTCCTGACATGATCTTCTTCATCTCGCGCTCGGGAACCTAACTCGTCGCTTTCCATATAGGGTTCCAACCAAGAACTTGGTGTGTAGTATCATCTGTAGGTCACATCAGTGTATGTTCGACCTGTCTCCATTTCCTACTTCATATATGTTGGGCAATAGATTTTTGCCTGATTGGATGTATTACCAGGATTCCTTGTTGCTTACTTTTTCCGGTCAACTACCTGATCTTTACTATCGGGTGAAGGCATCAGTTGATGAAGGTCTTCAGCCTGTTTGAAATGTATTCAGTGACATGCGCGCTAATTCTCTGAACCACATAGAAGCATGACTTGAAAGTATTGTTCAAAAATTCATATCTTCTTCATTGTGCTAAGTGGTGTAGGTCTCCACACTGCTTTCAGAGTAAAGAATGCATATCTTGCTTTCCCTATTCTTACTTTGACGTCATCATTTGTTCTGCCTGTAACTAAAACAGTGCTACCCAGTTAGGTGAGGTAAATACCTTCCTCTAGATTTCCATTGAACATAATTGGTGCTTGTCGTTGTTGTTTGGTATCTCCATCACCTCTGTCTTCTCTGTGTTCACTTTAAGTCCTGTATTCGCTGCCTGTGTCTTTTGCCAACTTATTGGTTTTCACTTGCATGTCTTTGAGTTCGTTCGACATGAGGCATAAATCATCTTATTTATTATTTTTTATTTTATTCCTCTACGTTGTCTCTTTATCGGTCTTATCTCCTTCTTAGCGAAGTTTAGAAGTGCATTGGCCGAGGATCGAACCTCGGACCACATGCGTGGTTGGTGAGCACAAAAGCCCACGATATCAGGAGCAGAAGTGCAAAATCTCTTGAGGCTCCTCGTTGGTCAAACATATGCCAGTTCTCTCACTCTCCTATGGTGTGCTGCATGATTAAGTCTGCCACAATCAGTAAGATCATCGTTAATCATAGGCAGCCACCTTTAACTCTTTTTCAACCTAATCCTTCATTAAGGAGGGTTTTGGTTCAACTTAGCCGGTGTGTGTCCTAGTTACCTAAAACAGTGAAACTGAAAAACCCCATCGATTAACTTACTACCTCTACCCGATGCCAAATTATTTTCTTCCAAATATCTTAACTATCTTATCGTCGTTACGCTTTTGTTATCTTCATTGTGTGCTTTTTCAATGGTTATATATATATATATATATATATATATATATATATATATATATATGAATGATACGGGCTAGGACTGTTACCTTCACTTTTTAATAGGAAAAGTGGATGTAACAGTAACACTACACTGGATGTTTCCATTTGACAAATACTTTAAGACTAACTGTAATCAAACACTGGTTATATTTTATTTATTTCCAACAAATATTGCCACCTAATGGTTTTTTAGGAAGGGCTGTGATATAGTTTAATACTGTTACAGACATAGCAAGTCAGTATTTAATATTTCTTGATATTGGATCTCATTACAAACCAGTAATAAATTAAGTTGGAGATGTTCCATCTCACAATTCATTCTTAAATGTACTACCAATTAGGACTTAGAAAGTGAGTTTTGACGATAGCGTGGGTGTGAAACGGGCCTTTTCTAGATTATAAAACTCTTCACATTTATTAACAGCATGGGTTACTTAATTTCAAAGTTCAGTGGGGGTATTTAGGTGTAGTTGGGGCATCTAACCATAGTAATGTAATCTTCGAATGTTCACTGTGATAGCTTAAATTCATCATATTGGTTTAATAAGTGAACTAGCTCTACAACGGAATAAAGAGATGAATAGTCAGTTTCAAATGACGGAGAGGATTGAAAGATGGTTGCATCACACATGGGTCTTTTTTATTACTGTGGTTCCTGAAATCATAACAGAAGCTGCCGTGCAGTTGTGGATAGAAACGACTGACTTCTTTTTTCCTTCTTTGAACAGAGTTACTCATACAATGTAACATTTTTTTCTTACATGGCTGGTGCTCACTTTATCCATGATCTTCATCGTTGTTTTTATTCCCACTCTAGTCTGCTTTGTTGGTATATCTGTAGGTGCTCACTATGTACCCGATCGACACTTCAAATTAGTTATGAAAAGCTCTGTGAAACCTCACTTCAGTGATAGTGGTGGTCTAAAGTTGACAGTGTCACAATATATATATATATATATATATATATATATATATATGCGTTTTTTTCACGATTATTTAGTGTTTTATGAACCAACAGTAATTGTACAGTAGAGATGATACTTGCAACTTATATACCTGATATCCGAATAACTTTCAGTATGAAAAGGTAGTTTATTTCGAATAAATTTTTCTATTATAATTATCATTGATCGATCTAGTTTTTCAACTTCCAAATGGTTCGTCACATGCTAAGACTTTCGGCATATACAGTAGCTTAGTATCATAAGCCCTCCTAGCAAATTAGATGTAGTTTGGAAAAATACACTGAACACGTACCAGCTGGGTGCTAGGCATCCCTATCAGCTGCAAGAATGTCTAGTTTCTCAATAATAACTAGATCTAAAAGCAGATTCTTGTGATTATTACTTGCTGATTTTCTTAGATACTTAATTAATATTGTATTTCACCATTTTATAATTTTTAGGCTCCGGCTTTGAGTATAACTCCCAATATTCAACCTGGTTCCTCTGGCCTCGCAATATTCGTCGAACTTCTTCATTCGCCTCACGAATCTATCCAACGTGCTGCAGCTGGCGTTCTCGCTGAGGTTTCACAGGATCGTGATGGTCTTGAGGCTCTAGCCACTTTACCTGGTGCAGGCTCTAGATTTGATGAGTTGGTTCGGTCTAGAAATGAAGCCATCTCAACGTATGCCTCCGCAGTAGTTATTCGGCTTGCTGAGGAACGCAGAGGCGTTGGCGGTAATTCTTATATCTTTCCATCTCATATAGAATCATTGAATACACCACCTTTACCTATGGATACTGGGGAAGTTTATCATGTACCTTCTGTTCAACCTGTCCAACATTCAACTGGTGGTTCACATCCTGGCGTGCCTTCGTTCCCTCCTCATGGGAATTGGAGCCATCCTCCTTTGCAAACTCATTCCCAAGAACAGGGAAACACGTATGGAGGTTCTTCAAACTCTTTGATGGCAATGCTTGGGCCACTTCCGCCTGGTTGTAAGAGTAAGTTGTACTATATTTCTTAAGTTTTATTCTACTTAGTCCCCATGAATGTAGAGGTGAGGTTGGAAGAATTGAGTAGTCATGGTTCATTGTTTGGCAGTCAGTATTTTCACACTATCTAGCTACAATACTGAGTTTTGGTGTGTGTTTCGAATTCTTGTTGGCCTTAATATGTCATTGTTGACCGTCTGTGAAGTTCAGGACACTTGTCTTGTCCTTTTTTGGAACTCATAAATTGCATGCACTTAAATTCTGTTCTAGTAGCGTTGGTATTTGGGATTGTAGTTCATTAGTCACCTCTTCAAAGAACAATTGTTCTCAGTCAGATGTCTTTTGGGAGTGGGTGTCCTAGTTATTTGCGCTTGCCACTGCTGGGTTGAGTGAAAGTTGACAAGCAATAATAACACATCACTATAAGAGTTGAATGTCTTTCAGTAACCACCCAATTAAATATTAACAGCTTTTAGAACCTTCAGCTGATAAAAGAAGAAGCTAGTTCACCTCATTTATCATCATAAAGATTCCGTCAGACTGCACCACAAAATGTAGACAGTATTTAGAATGGATGAATTGCAAACCTAATAACAGCAATAGAGTTACTTTCTTACATTTTAAATGTGAAGCCTTAAAGTTATGAGAGATCAGAGACGTATATCGTTACTGTAAGAGTATTAAATATACAAGGGGGAATGTAGACCTTAATTTTGAGTATCGCTAGGTACATTACCCAGAGAAACACCGTTCCCGTAGACCGACCACACTAGCAACTCCGTATGGGATATTCTAACGTTCGGTCCTTAGGTACAATTGTGTTCAGATAATCATTTGTTCCTGGTCGGCAGTAATATCAAACATGAGAAAAGATATCGCCTAACCTGGAGACCTTCACCATCAAATCAAATACGGATGCTCAAATAGATCACAAAGCGATAAACCATTAATGCAAGGGGTCGGTAGACAACTGCCTATCCTTCTGGAACACTTGCGTAGACTCCAAACAATTACTGGTTCGTGCACGTGTATGCCTACAACTGAACGGGCCACTACGCCATCAACTTGAGGAGAACATGTTCTTAATTTAAGGAATAAATAACTGAATACCTACCTGAGTAAGAACAACGGCACCCCATCCTGTCACAATACCTAGTCTGCTGTAGAAACAATGTTGGAAACCCGAAACCATAGGTTAGTAAGTGCCGGGGGACTTTTGCTACTTCATGTGAACTAATAGATGCAAGAAGACTAATTCTGACGGGTTCAAAAATGAGGAGCATAAGTCACTCAAATGCAACCTAATTGAAAATTTCAATGGCCATGAACATTGGTGTGTGACAAAAGCCAAAGAGATGGCAAAGGAATCAGCAGTAGGTAAGAAATGAAACGCTTAACTCATCGGGCTACGGCTTCGAAAAATGGGGCTTAAGAGAAGTAAACTTGAGGAAACCACTTAAGTTTCCAGCACAGATGAGGGTTACTCACTATATATTCACCATTTGACAGGTTGTAGAAAATAGGTGTACTTACTGCTGTCCAAAACTTCATTTTTTCTATCCTGAAGACATTTAAATGTCTACTGAGAGGTGCTGTGGCAATGTCTCATTGTAAAAAGAGTACCAAGATAGTTTCTTATACTAATAAAGGTACTCTAGTCCATCTCATACGACTATGTGCGAGCTAACGAAGGGTAGTGTTTGATGGAACAACAACTATTAGTGTCCACCAAGCATGTTCAGTGTCGCCTTTGTTATTTAATTTCGTCATAAGTGTGGTAATAAATGTAATACTGTTCGATTTCGGGTGCTGAAGAGCCAACCATGAGGGGTTAGTGTAAATTACTTAGCTGAGGCCCTCAGGTTGCTAAAAATCATTGATTGGAGGTTTTTGGTGAAATGGCTTAAAATATTGAGCACTGGCGTAGATGAAGTATTAACTCGTTGTTATCGAGATTCTGAAATCTCTCACTAATCTTCATGTAACTGCTTACTTTCACTCTCTCGTATTTCTTCAGTCATTAGTGTTTCGTTGCATTTCTTCCCTAGACTTTTGCAGGTACTTTTTGTGTGTATGAAAACCTGAACGGATAGACTTTTGGGTTCTACGTTGACAAGCCAGTCAGTTTTATTGTAATTCGTCGTATAGTAATCAAGTGTGGATGAGATTATTATCGTTATTATTACTTAAAACAAACTTGGTGCATTATGGGCATCAAAAGATGCGTCACATAAAAATAAAAAAAATGAGAATTTATAAAGACAATAGGGATAGAATAAATATAGGAAGGTCATCCAGAGAGCAAGTGAGCCTACTTATCAAGATCATTCAACATTCATCACTTCATGTTACTTTCAGAAAGGGAAGATGGCAAGCTCGAAAAAGACACACTGTTTCCAGGTATCTGTGTTAGATATTGCTCTGGAGGTCAGCGTTTTGAAGACTATTAAACAACAACTCAAAACGACATAGGGAAGTTGAGATTTCAAACAAAGACGAAAGGTTGACAAAAGGGAAGACACCGGAAGTAGTAAAGTTGGTCAAAAAAGAACACGTTGCTAAAAATATGATTGTAGTCTGTAACAGAGAGCACGCGATTATAATCTCATGAAATTATTGCCTCGTAGTTTTTGTTCGAGGGCTAGGGTACTTCCTGGGTGTCAAACCGAAGCTGAGGGGACCACCCTACGACCCTTTGACTTGAAGCCTGATCCTCAAAACAGTGGAGCTGCGTTCATCACATGGTTTCCGGTGACCGAAATAAGTTCATGCGTCATTCAACCCTTACGAATTCTGGAGCCCATGTACACCATACGTTTGGAGTCAGGGTTTTTTAGTCTCCGCCCCTGGGTAGATCTGCATGTTCAGCGTTCCTGTTGTAAGCGTTATATGTCCGCATTCGCCCCTTGACTTTTGTGAGGAATACCCCTGCCAGGTGGAGGTAGTGAATACGAATTACCGGACAAGGGCTATGTACACCTAGCCGCATGTAGATAGTTGCAGTTTTGATACAGTGTTTAACTTTCATTATCCCTTTTTTCGACTTCGGCGAAGTTCAACAATAGCATCCTAGGAGTGCGAACGCTCCAATGATCTTGAACGCCTGCTAGTCGTCGGCTGACGGCACCTGTCAGTATCATAGCTGAAATATCAAAGCTGTTCACCAACTAAGCAGCAAATTATACTCAGATCACGTTTCTAAGTAATGTTTGGACAATGTGTTAATAACTCGTTAGGGTTAGGATCAGGGTCATAATTAGCATTAGGGTTAGGTTTAGGGTTACGATAAGGGATGTAATCATGGTTAGTGTTATGTTTAGGGTTAGGGTCAGGATTAAGGTTAGAGTTAAGACTAGGGATAGATTTAGAGTTGATGTCATTTATTTTAATTTGTTTTCTTATCCACATTTTCCTGGTAAGTAGTCGTCGGTCCTCTTACTGCGAACCATGGTAATTCAACCGAGGGCTTTCGGGGATGACTGCACAATGGGATAAGAGAGATAAACGTTTCACAAAAACAGCTCATTTTCAGTCTCCTCAGTAAATACATGTAGAGAAACTAGTCTAACTTAGCAACTGATACTCATTATAACCGGGATGTATCTTTAAGCCATATCAGAGAAAGATACTCTGTTTCATGTGTTTTCATAAATTTTCCTGTAAATATGCGTCATTTTTTCGCAAAAATCACTTGTTTTTATGATTGGTCGACTGAAGGTCACTCGTGGGTTCGCACCCCTTGGGACGCTCTTGTTGAACTTTGCCTCGACTACATCCCTATTATTATTATATGATTAATATTTTTAATATCTCCATTTCAGATTCCGTGTGCGGTGATTGTTGCTCATATTGGAATGATTGTGGTCCTGCTGGAACATGCTCGGATCCGAATTGCATTTATAATACAAACAATAGTAATAATAACACCAATATTAACAATAGTCAATCTTCTGGAACGTATTCAGAGTTACAGCCAGTAAAGGTGTATCATAATGTCCGTCCACCAAGTCGTACAGGATTCATGAGCTGTGGTACCTCCGCCTATACTGCAGGATCAACATTTTTACCCCCGTCTGTTCAGAATTTTGACAATAATACTTCAGTGCAAGGACATAATTCTATTTACCAGGGAGGAATGAGTGTCACGCCACGTCGGTCGTGTACTGGAAGTGTAAATACAAGTGGATATTTAAGTCCTGGCAGTGAAATGTTTGTGAATCCTTCACCATCGGAATACAAGCCGTCAGTTCATCCAGATGGACAAGCGGTAGTATTACGATCATCTCGTTTAGAGCAATCTCATAGTACTACAAATTCTTCGCCTGCAATGCCTTCACAAAATGTCAGTACTGGTTATCTCAGTCCAGATATGATGGTGCTAGAGGAAAACGATTCTGATTGGTTAGGTGGTCCTGCTGTTATGTGATCGTTTCTTTTTTTTGTCTGTTTTTATTTCAGTGAAGTAACTTCACACAAATCTTTTCACCCCCCGCCCCCGCCCCTAGTCGTTTTTTTCGTTCTAGCACATTCTAGTGCCTATAAACACATTAATTTCGCGAAAGGCATCTCAATATATATTGAGATAAAATTTGATATTCGACTCTTTCCCCCTTCCCCACCCCGCAAATGCCAATCAATGGCTACTGGTTATCCACAAGTGCACTAATTTCAGCCTTTCAATGCAATAACTTTTTGTTTGTTTTCAGTGTACTTGTCTTCTACGTGTGTGTGTGTGTGCGCGTGTGTGGGTTTCTTTTTTTATGCCTTTCGACTTTCGATGAGCTTTTCGATTGTGGGCAATATTTTGTTTTCTGTTTGCTGCATGGATTCGGACTTTAGTCACTTTTATTCACAGCCGTGTTTCATATGGATGTGAGGATGATGATGACGTTTGTTGTGCTCGTTCGTCTTGTGTACTAGCTCCTCTCTATGTCTCTCTCTGTCCATCATGAATGTTGCCACCATCAGTTCACATCGTTGGATATTTATTGATTGATTGATTCAATCTTGGAACATTGTGAACACTGGGAAACAATCGGATATTGCAATGCTTGTTCAGGTATATATATACATTCTTTCTTTCTGTTGCCTTTTTAATACTTCACCATGAGAATATTATGATACGCCGTCGTCGTTGCTTGCTTGCTTGCTTGCTTGCTCGCTTGCTTAACTCGTATTGTTTGTTCTCCATCCTTTATCCCTTTTTATCGCATTGTAATTACAATTTAATTCGTTGTATGCGCGTGAAAAGGCAGTTTCAGGTCAGTCAGTGCTTTTATTTATATACTAATGATGGGTGCCTATAGTATCATTATGCAATACATATATTATTATTACTATTATTATTATTATTATTATTATCATACACTGTTTTTTTTACACATTCTAGCGCCATTTATCATAATTAATCCTTCATGTTTTAATCAAAGTACGTACATATACTATTATTAATATTATTATTTCTATTATTTATACATTTTGCAATATTAACATTTTATTAATTTTAATTTTAATCTGTGTTTTCGCTTCTCTTTACTTTTTGGTTGTTGCTGTTGTTGTTGTTGTTGCTGTTCTTTTCTATGATTTTATTATTCATATTCATTCGTGTGCAATACTACTGCAGCACCTTCTCTTATCAAATAAATCAACACTAGTATCTTATTTGACTTTTAAAAAAAATAAAATAAAATTCTCTCTTAATATATGTCTCAGGATTATTGATAGTTTTGGAATTTTCAGAAAGTAGGGTGAGTAAGAGAAGTGAGATGGTCTAGTGGAGATGGGTGGTGGTTCCACTGGCTTAGCTACTCGACTCTTCTAGCCAGTAGCGGGTCTGAGGTTCGAATAATCCTGGATGCGCCTACTTCAGTCTGGGCAACTGGGTAATAGTAGTAGTGTAACAGAAGAAGGTGGGAAACGGAATCAAAGGTATATTTTCAAGTGATCAGACGGCTATTTATATCTATACAGTTTATATTCTTTAACCAGTCATTGAGCGAGTGATTTTGGTTTACTACATTAAACGATATGAAATAGAATGTTCAAATATACATATACTATTCTGTTGCCAATGCAGTATTGAACTGTCGGAATCTGTGGGAATAATATCCCATTGAAACACATTGTCTGTATCAAACCACCACACTCGTTGGTCTGATCTTCTTGGTGCTTGCATCTTTGTTTGCTTGTCTTGCTGTATCCAGTTCCGGAGCTCGCTGACGTCCACCCGCTTCCCTGTGTTTGCATTTCTGATCGTATATACGTGACCGCATCTCACGGTGACCGTTTGTGATCCTTCCCACTTTGGGAGAAGTTTACGTGACTCAGGTGCATATTCGTCGGTGTTTCGCCTCACACTCATATGCTGCCGTCACCCGACCTCTCAGCAGCATTTCAAGTAAAAGCCTCTTCGTTGACGGATCTTGAACGCCATCCAACTGCATGACAGCCTCGATGTCCTGCAAGAAGATGCATATGTCTCCTTCTTCAAAAACTGCAGGACATAGGCTTTTCATTTGTCGGCAGGCGGTGACACCAAATGTAACAGTGGAAGGCGAGACACGGAAGCAAAGGTATATTTTCTAGTGATCAAACCGCTATATATATATATATATATATATATATATATCCCACTGAAACACATTGTCTGTGTCAAACCACGACAGCAGTATCATTGGCAGTATCACACAGATAATATCTGTGTGGCTCATAGCTGAGAACAAGAAAGGCCTGTTCAAGGAACTGAGCTGAAATAATAATAAGAAGTAATGGGATTTTAAATCAGTATACTAAGGGACTGAAGCAGTGTACATTTCACTTTGATATTGTGCCGGTAAATGTCACTGTCATATGTCTTATACGAAAGTGTATTTATATATGTGTAAAACTTGGGCACTGTGGTAGTAAGTAATTCGAACTTAAGACAAAAGTGTCACTTGAGGACATAATGCTGGGAGTACAGCTATGCCTGACCTCCACAGTATTTAAATTTCAAGGGAAAATATACAAACAAACTGAAGGAGTTGCCATGGGATCACCAATATCCCCAGTTGTAGCAGATATATTCATGGATAAGTGGGAAAACATGACGATTGGAACGTTCAACCCCACCCCAAAAGTATGGTGGAGGTATGTCGATGACACATTCACTGTACTTAAAACACAAGATATAGATAGGTTTTTCGAACACATCAACTCGAAGGTTGAAGCAATTCAATTCACTTATGAATTGGAAAATCAGGAAGGGGAGCTCCCAGTGTTAGATTGCAACGTAAAGAGGAAAGAAGATGGGAAGTTAAACACTAGTGTTTGCAGCAAACCCACACACTCAAACAGATATTTAGACTTCCGATCGTCCCATCCTATGTCAGTAAAAATAGGATTGGTGAAATGTTTAACTGACAGAGCACAAAAACTAAGTAATACCAAAGAAAATCTAAAACAGGAACTGATACACATAAAAGAAGCTTTGAAACTTAATAATTACCCGGATAAATTAATCAAGAAATATGTAAGGAAATGTAAAAATGAAGTAAATAATGATAGTAGCGATAGTGATAATAATAATAATAATAATGTTAATAATAATAGTAATAATAATAATATTAATGAACAATAATAATAATGTTAATAATAATATTAATGCCGACACCAATAATAAGAAATCTAAATCATCAGTAGTAATTCCATACAAGGAAGGAACCTCAGAAGCCTTACGCAGAATTCTTAACAAGGCAGGAATAAAAATGGCATTCAAACCCACAAACTCAATTAGAAACAAGCTTTGTCGGTTAAAGGATCCTGTAGAGCCCTTAAAACAAAACAATTTAGTTTATCTCATACCCTGTAGTGATTGTCAGGTCAAATACGTAGGTCAAACTAGTAGAACAGGGGCAGTCAGACTAGCTGAACATAAAAACCTAGCAAAATCTCGATTGGTTGACCCGAATGAGATAAGAAATCTACAGAATAGTTCAGCTATAGCACTACATGCAGTCACACACAACCACACAATAGGATGGGATAGGATGACAGTTTTAAAATCTAATGTCACAGGGTATTGGGAGAGATTGATAACAGAAGCTTTGTTTATCGAATCAACTGCAAATACATGTAATAGGAATGATTCATCACCTGTCCCCGATATCTGGAAAATTCTACTACCCCTACGACAAATAGGAGAGAACAAAGAAAACTATAAAACTCAAGTGTCAAAGTCGTGTGATTACAATTGATATGATTATGAACAATAAATTTTGTTCGAAACTGTGTCATCCAGTAAATAATACTGTTTCACTGTGTGATATATCAAATAAACAAACTAATATGAAAGTGTATTTAGAAATGTACTGTAAATTATGCGTATTCGGACCATTCATTTTCTGCACACAATTAATTTGGGCGATTTAGAGGTATAATAGACGTCCACGTGGAATCATTATTACGTTTGAGCATATTATATTCTTTTACACTGAGGGATTAATTACGTCTTGCGCTCAGTATTATGCCTCTATAGGAAACGGTCAGCAAAATAGGGCCTTTTCAATAATAAATAATTATATTTAGTGATTAGCTGTCAAAACCACCCTAATTCATCCAGTGTGTGAGACTGTATAATTTTTTGCTTCATATCATGTACCCTTCTGTGTTTATTCCTCAAATTTGGATCTAGTTTACATTGTGCTTGGGAGATAATTTGATTGGTTAGCCTTGAGTTGATCGCCAACCAATCAAAACAGTTGACTGTTCACTGACCTAACCGACTTTTCTTGTTGTTAAAATGTACATAACTATGATGTGGTTTCCCTTAGTAGGAAAAGTTCGTTGCCAATTCTCTTATCTTCTGCCGTCACAAGTACACTGGACTTGTTTAAAAAAAAATTTCAGTTAGATCGTTTGACTTAAATGTTACTAGAAGAATATCTTCTTATTTAAAGGCCGAAAATACTCATTGAATCATGCAGAAAGTAAAAGACAATTTAGCGAAGATAATTTTCTTTATCGACGAGATCGTCTGCAGAGACTGTACAATCGTATTTATATTTGCTAAAAAGGGTGGACGTCAGTCTATTGCTGAGTATCAAAGGGTAACATAGTTGTCACTGGCACATTGGAAGAAAGGGTTCGAAATTTAATAAGTTTAAACCTGTTGTTGGATGAGTGTTCACTTGGAAATTGTGAAGTGGGTGAGAAAATGTACAAAAGGACATGAAGGAGTGTTGATAGTGAATTAATTGCTAAAAATAGTGAACGATTGCGGAAGATCATGGGGTTATATTGACTAATTGCCAGTGCCTCTGCCATACACAAATGTTGAGACCTAACATCATTTGTATTATTCAGTCTGACCTTGTAGACAATCTTAAAAGATGACTTCTGTGGTGCTGCATAGTCTGAGTTTACCAGATGCTCGAGTATTAATCAGATAATTGTTCCACATTCTCCTCCCTTAATCCTGTCGAATAATGTTCAGGAAGTGTGCGCTTTGTGATTTCGAAGTGGAACGTAGAGTTTCAAGTTTTGAAGTTTCAGTAACAGTGGTGTTTTTTGTTTTTACGGAGTGGAGTTATTAGCCCCACTCCCAACCTTCCCTCTTCCCCAGGCTTCCTATCATGAGGTTTAAGTGTACGTCGGTTAAGAATGGAAACCGGACCACGTGTGTAGTTGGCAAGCATTTTATGAGTGGACCACCGGCGCTCACCTAGAGGACTATAATAGTACACAAATCCACGAAATTTACTCAACCTAGTATTTTATGCATTGCTTAGTGATGATGCAGCATGTTGTACGCGACAGTAATCTACATGACTTAATATTTGTTATTCTCCTCCATAGGGGATGGATGCAATTACGCTACATACTTCTGGAGAATATGGAGTTGAGTTCCGTTAAGGATATAAAAGGGACTAAAATTATTAGATGGCATATTTCTGGTCTTACCATAATTTTAATTCTTCACTGTATATCACGCTATTTCAACTACTGAATGCAGGAAAACTGTTCATTAGATTAGTTGTCTAATTAGTGGTGTAACATGAGAAGATAAGAAATTTGGTAACAAAACTTTATTAAGGAAAAACATATCACGTTTTTACATTCTTCACCATATTAAAGTTCGGCTAGGTCAGAGGAGAATAAGCTGTGTTCTGATTGGTTGGAAACCGACCCAAGGTCGCACAAGTTGTCCAATGAGGTTATCTTATGTCCACAACGTAAACCCAGCCATTGACTTAAAGTGTTGATCTCAATTTCAGCCACTTCCTATCAATGGACATCACACTACAGTGGTATTCTGCCTTATAACTTAAGGTATTTCACCTTTAAGCAAACATTGTATTCAGTGTATTTGGTCTTATAAAGAG